ACGGAATTTAAGTATTTGAAGATTTAAATGTTTTAGAATTTAAGGATTTAAGTGAATGTTTTTGAAGGTAAAAAAGTTAAAGGCGATGCGATGCGTTCTTTTTTCGTTGAAGCTTTGAAGTTCATTAGTTAGTCTCGTTGAGTTTGAGACTGTACCAACAGTTTAGTAATCTTTCTTGAACAATTTTTAAAAATTCAATGTTACTTAATTACAGTGCTTCAGTTGCAGAGAAACTAGGGCGCAAAAATAGTGAAGCACAGAGGCGGATCAAGGGTTTTATCGAGCGGGGTGGGGGGAGTCTTGTTTTCAAAAAAAGTTTCGTCGAGCTCCGTTGAGTTTTTGTCAAGCTCTTTTTAGGTCGACCAAATTGATTTTCCGGGCGCTTCAGAAGACCAAGAAAAACCCTATTTTGAAAAAAAAATATGAATACCCCCCTATATTGAAAATTTTTCATAAAAAACCGACTAAAAAGGCACTTTTTGGAAAATTAGTATATACTGACGGGGAAGGCTCCTTTTGAGAAATTTTTTGGGTTAATCAGCCAAAAATTGATCTCATAAAAAAATACCGAAGGGAGTAGCCTTTGGTTGGTGATGGCGTCAAATCCCTGAGAGGAGGTTATATATTTTTGATATTTTTTAAAGCAGGTTGGGTCGCGATCAGAAAACGTATCTTGGATTGCGGCAAAACGGCAAAACGGTCTAAATTTTGCTAATTCAGAGTAAAAACTATATATACCTATAAGTGGTGGATACAAAAACTTGCATCTCCTACAAAATTTAGTTGCTTTTTATTTTATTATACTTATTCATTTGAAAATAAACTTAAGAAAACAGCCTTCTCTCAAGTCTTTTGTTAACTATTTCCATTTGAATCATTCTTTCAGAGATTTTAATTCCGAAGATTTTAGTTTACCTAAGATAATTATAAAACAAAAAACTAACGGGTGGCCTTATATCATCATTATTTTAAAAGATTAAAAATAAACGAAAGACTAAAACCGTGTATTTAAATTTTCCTCAAAGTAAGAGCGGATTTAGAAGTAACAGGTTGGTTGAAACACCACCTTTCTCAGTTTTTTGAAAGACGCAAAGTTTGAGAAGCTCCAAAACCTCCCTAAAATACTTCGCAAATTTCTGGTCACTTCTTCCGAAACGTGCCCAAAAACATCACTTCGTCAGAATAAACTGGGTAGTGATAGTGTTACAGGACCGCTCGGAAAATCGTTTTGCTCGGCATCAAAAGCTTGGAATTGCGGGAAGAAGTCGTAAAGACAATGATTGTATTTTGAGTTTAATGAATTTTGTATATAAGACTGACCGCTACAAATATTCTGTTGATTTGTTTAACGTTTTGATGCGAACAAAAGCTTGGCTACTCAGGACGAAATATTTCCATCGAAGAACTTTGCATCGAACGAAGTTACCATCATTTCTCAAAAACGACAAAGTAGATGCACTTGGAAAAACCGGAAAAAGATTTTCTCGATGATAAAGGGGGGATTTTCAAAAAATCAAAAAATTGCAGATCTTTCTTTTAGGTCGACCAAATTGATTTTCCGAGCGCTTCCAGATCACTTTAAAGACCTTACTTTGACTATAATTTTGTCGATTTTTGTAAAAGTGATGAACATGAGAGTGTTTTTATAAGGGCCTGGTGATTTTTGTTGCTTTTTTGTCATGAAAAATCTTAAACTTTATTTTTTCATGTTTGACTTTTGATTTCATTTTAAGTTTACCTCATTTACTTTGTTAGAAGGAAGACAAATTCCACTATTGAACAGAAAAGAGAAACAGTCACAAAAAACGTGAGCGCCGCTCAATTTCGAAAATGGAATTTAGTTATCAGATTAACCAGCGAAATTATAAATTAAATTAAATCATGAATAGTTCAAAAAATTCAAAAATTTTAAAAGGCATATATGCTTTTTTTTAAAACTTGAAAGTAAAATCTTTTGACAAAAAAAAACAAGACTGCTCGTATCAGGGCAAAGCCCTGAATGTTCCAACTGCCTTTTAAGGCTTATGGAGCAGTAAAAACACCATGAAAATCACCACCCCACATGCCATATAAAGTACAAAAGGATAGATTTTGCCATAACTTTAGGAAAAATAATCAAATTTGAAATATTATTTCAAATTTAAGCTCAAGACAACAATACCCTCTGAATGATATAACAAACTCCGTCAAAAATGGCTGAAGAAAAAAACCCACCCGAGCATACAATATTCCGTTAATTTCGTTACAAAAGTCGGAACAACAAAAAAAACCATGTTGTGGTTTTGAGTTTCAAAACAAAAGGGCAGCAGTCGACTTTAATGTAAAGACTTGAATAGACAAATTTCCAACACGGAATTTAAGTGTTTGAAGATATAAATGTTTTAAAAGATTAGAATTTAAATCAATTTTTTGAAGGTAAAAAGTTAAAAGCGATTCTTTTTTCGTTGAAGCTCGGAAGTTCATTCGTTATTCTCGTTGAGTTTTTTGAGACTGTACGAACAGTTTAGTAATCTTTCTTGAAAATTTTTTTGAAAATTCAGTGTTGCTTAATTACGGTGCTTCAGTTGCAGAGAAACTAGGGCGCAAAAAAGATGAAGCACTGAGGCTGATCTAGGGTATTATCGAGGGGAGTGGGGGGATTCTTTTTTTAAAAAAAAAAAATTTCGTCGAGCTCCGTTGAGTTTTTGTCAAGGTTTTTTAAGGTCGACCAAATTGATTTTCCGGGCACTCCAGAAGACTAAGAAAAACCCTATTTTGATAAGATGAATACCCCATTATATTGAAAATTTTTCAAAAAAAACCGACTAAAAAGGCACGAAAAAACTTGCATCTCTTACAAAATTTAGTTGCTTTTTATTTTATTATACTTATTCATTTGAAAATAAACTTAAGAAAACAGCCTTCTCTCATGTCTTTTGTTAATTATTTCCATTTGAATCATTCTTTCAGAGATTTTAATTCCAAAGATTTTAGTTTACCTAAGATAATTATAAAACAAAAAACTAACGGGTGGCCTTATATCATCATTATTTTAAAAGATTAACCTAGGCAACGAAAATTTCCACAATATTAGACTACGTTTTTTCACTTAAAACTAATTTGTTGCCAAACGCCCAACGAAAAATAAACGAAAGACTAAAACCGTGTATATAAATTTTCCTCAAAGTAAGAGCGGATTTAGAAGTAACAGGTTGATTGAAACACCTTCTTTCTCAGTTTTTTGGAAGACGCCAAAATTTGAGAAGCTCCAAAACCTCACTAAAATACTTCGCAAATTTCTGGTCACTTCTTCCGAAACGTGCCCAAAAACATCACTTCGTCAAAATAAACTAGGTAGTGATAGTGTTTCAGGACAGCTCGGAAAATTGTTTTGCTCTGCAAAAGCGTGGAATTGCGGGACGAACTCGTAAGAACAATGGTTGTATTTTGAGTTTAATAATTTTTCTATTTTAGACTGACCGCTACAAATATTCTGTTGATTTGTTTAACGTTTTGATGCGAACAAAAGCTTGGCTAACCAGGACGAAAAACTTCCATCGAAGAACCTTGCATCGAACGAAGTTACCATCATTTCTCGAAAGAGACAACGTAGATGCACTTGCAAAAATTGCAAAAAGATTTTCTCGATGATAAGGGGGGATTTTAAAAAAAAATCAAAAAATTGCAGATCTTGCTTTTAGATCGACCAAATTGATTTTCCGAGCGCTTCCAGATCACTTTAAAGACCTTACGTTGACTATTTTTTGTCAATTTTTTTAAGAGTGATGAACATGAGAGTGTTCTTATAAGGGCCTGGTGATTTATGTTGCTTTTTTGTCACGAAAACTCTTAAACTTTATTTTTTCATGTTTGACTTTTGATTTCAACTTAAGTTGACTTCATTTACATTGTTAGAAGACAAACTCCACTATTGAAAAGAAAAAAGAAAAGAGCACAGACAACGTGAGCGACACTAATTTTTTTTAATGGAATTTAGTTATCAGATTACCCAGCGAAATTAAAAATTAAATTCAATCATGAATAGTTCATAAAATTCAAAAAGTTTAAAAGTCATATATGCTTTTCTTTAAAATTTTGGATGCAAAATTTTTGACATAGAAAACAAGACTGCTCGTATCAGGGCAAAGCCCTGAATGTTCCAACTGCCTTTTAAGGGTTATGGAGCAGTAATAACACTAAAAAATTCAAGGTAAAAAATAAAATGAAATATATCGCGAGTTAATTGTCCCAAATTGGCCAAAATGGCAATTTTTAAACCCCCATAACTTCACAAAAAAGAATCACAGGTGAAACTTCTTTTCAACAATGAGCTCAGGACAACAATTCTTTTTGAATGATAAAAAAAACTTTGTCAAAAATGGCTAGTTAAAAAGTCGAAATTTGTCTAATGAAAAAAAAACCCACCCCGAGCACAAACATTTCGTTACCTTTGGATCAAAAATCGGAACAACAAGTCTATAATTTTTTATTTTCTTGCTTTCATTACTATTTTCCAACTGTCAGTTGGCTAGGTTTAAATGAATAGCATGATACATACTGGAGCGCATTCATAACTGCTTGGTATTTAATTGTGTAAAAATGAATGGAACTGAGAGCAGCAATGTCCGGGTAGTAGTTAAATAAATTCTCAAGTTTAAACTAAGTCGCCAGTTATTTTCGCTTCGACTTTTGAAAAAAATGAGAAATGCATATGCTCGGTGTTGTTTTTTATCTAGACCCATTTCGCAAAACTCTTCGCTCCCTCGGGTGATCTATCTCTGGAGCTTCATAGGCCCTATAGTGTTCATAGGCACATCACTATACTATTATGTCATGATCCTGTCCAAACTGCTCTTTTTATTTTTTACCCGAGGCGAATTACCCAGCACTACAAAACTTACTGTGCTACGTAGAACAGTATCGGTATCGGCAAAGTATGTGCTACTCGAACAGCAACTAGTGTTTCTCGTTTTTGTTAACTATTCAAATATGCTTCATAAGGTTCTTTTTGATAAAAACAGACGCTGTCAACACTGGAGTGGTTAAACGCAGACGTCTTCCTCTCGGCTGGATTGAGAAGAAAGAGAAAAGAGGCTCCCGGTTTGCCAAGGAAGTCTATCAGGAAGCATTCACCTTTTTTGACCCAGAAGAAACTGGAGAAATATCCACTGATGATCTTTACGCAATATTTACGTAATAAATTCTAGATTAAACGCTTAATTTCACTTGCGTTATTTTTAAACTTGTTTAAACAGGACTTTTCAAAAAAGTGAAAGTAGTGACTTATAGTTCAATTACACTGCATCCACTTTCTAGCGGTCAAACTTGAATTATTCTAGTATTTCAATGCTTATTAGCGCTTTTAAGAGAAACGAACTAATGAGAAGCATAATATTGCTGTAGGAAACAACGGTTTTACAAAAAAAAGAATAAAACATTCGAAATTTTAATTAAATTTTTTTTATCCGCATCTTTATTATTTTAGTTTAGAACTTTACTTTTGAACGCACTTCTTCTCTTTTAGAGCCTTCCGAATGGAGCCGTCTGAATTGGCTCTCAAAGATCTTCTCTACGACATTGACTTCGCCGGAACTGAGAGGCTTCAATTGGAACAGTTTTGCTACCTCATGGATTGCCTGCTTAGCAAGAAATCCATGCATGAAGAAATTCAAGATGTGAGTTACCCATTAATATCAAAAAATTGGGTATATATGTTTCAAGCTTCAATGATTTTTGAGAATTGTGTAGACTACTTTTTACGCTCGCTGCATGAAGTTCAGGGCTTTTTACATGCAGGGCAATGCACAAAATGCAAACAAGGATACCCATAGTCTTTCAAAAACTACAAAAAATTTTTTTTTAGTATCTTGAGTTTCTCTGCATACGCTGGTATCATATGTGACTAAACTATGGCCGAAAAATAAAATGGAATCCCAGAAACGTTGAGAGTTGAATTTTTGAAATAAGAACAAACAAAAATGCCCAGACTTCTTTCAACTTATCCAAATGATAATCAGCTAATTTTTTTCGTGTTTCTTCAATTATTACGTCAACCAACATTCAATCAACATTGCTATTTTCATCAAATAAAATTTTTTCTATAGTTTTAAACATTTTTCAGAGCTTAGTTGATTATCTTAGTCAAATCTTTTCTCCGAAGTAAAATTGTTGACAATTTTTTATTCTAAGGCAGAGGAAAAAAAATTCGTATCAGGGAGAAGCCTTGAATGTTCCGACTGCCTTTAAGGTCTACGGAGCAGTAATAACATGAAAAAATTGAATGTAATACAACAAAATGAAAAAAAAATTCTAAAAATTGATTTTTTTTGAAATCATCACCCCACACGCCATATAAAGTACAAAAAGATAGATTTCGCGCCTTGTATCAAATCAATTATGGCAAAAAAGCTTCTTTCAACCAATTTGGAACAATTTCTAAGACGGATTAAATCTCCGCTTTTACGCGTTAATAGCGCGAAATACATCGCGCGTTAATTGTCCCAAATTGGCCAAAATGGCAATCTTTAAACCCCCTTAACTTCACAAAAATGATCACAGGTGAAAAAACTTTTCAAATTTAAGCTCAGGTCAACAATACCTTTTGAGTGATCTAAGACAAAATCCGTCAAAAAAGGCTAGCTTTAAAGTCGAAATTTAATTAAGAAACAACCCGAATACAGATATTCTGTTGCTTTCGTTCCGAAAGTCGGAAAAAATAGCAAGTTGTACCCAGATTACACATTCATTGCAATGTCGCTGTGTGTAATTGAAACAAGTTGCTTGTATCAGGAAAAACGTGAAAAAAATTAAATGTACAAAAGAACGAAATAATTTTTTTTATTTTTTGAGATTTTTTGTGAAAATCATCCCCCCATATATCGTATGAAGTGCAAAGTGATATATTTCGCTCCTAGTAACAATTCAATTATGGTAAATAAGCTTCTTTCAACCAATTGGGAACCATTTTTAAGACTGCTTAAATATCCGCTAACGCGTTAATAGCGCGAAATATATCGCTCGTTAACTGTCCCAATTTGGCCATAATGACAATCTTTAAGCCCCCATAACTTCACAAAAATGATCACAGGTGAAAAATCTTTTCAAATTCAAGCTCAGCACAGCAATACTTTTTAAATGATTTGAAAAACTCCGTTTCAAAAATGACTAATTAAAAAAAAAACGAAATTTGTCTGAAGAAAAAAAACCCACCCCTAGCACAAATATTCCGTTACTTTCGTTACGAAAGTCGGAACAACAACAGAAATAAGAAAATCTATATTCCAAATACATACAAACAACTTAGTACCTGCGCGCTGGAAAATAGAAATGAGCACGACCCATAGCTGACCAAAAGTTGCAGGCAACCTGGAATTTTTTGAATAACAACAATATTGAGAAAATATCTCGAAACGCAAAAATAGATTGACGAGCAAATCAGGGGTGGCTTTAGGAGAAAGGCAGGGGTGCGGACACCCTCCCGCCTCAGGCATTCGACCCTCTGCTGGCCTAAAGGGTCCGCCCTTTATATTACTTTGAAATATCCATTTTTGGCTGACTGACCCAAAAAAATTTTATAGGCGCCATTGGCGCCAAAACATTAAAATTTTGAGGAGTGTGCGCGCAGATTGAAAAATGGTTGACCATCACGGATTGATCGAACCCATGCAGCAGTGGTTCGGACTTCATTTCATAGCCAAATTATCAGAGTACTTCAAAACAAACAAAAACATTAGCACAGATGGACTTTGGCAGTTTTGCAATGAAAAAAGCCGACGTGCAAAGATGAGCTCAAAAATTTTGCCGGGAAGCCGACAAACTTCAATTGTCAGAAGTCGAACAAGGCTGCGGCTTGATGCCAATGATGCCAATTAGATTTTTTGTGAAACCATCCACTCACACGCCATTTAAAGTATGAAATGATAGATTTCGCTCCTTAACATATCAATTATGGCAAATAAGCTTCCTTCAACCAATTTGGAACAATTTCTAGGACGAAATAAATCTCCACTTACGCATCAATAGCTCTAAATATATCACGAGGTAATTGTCCAAAATTGGCAATCTTTAAACCACAATAACTTTACAAAAAAAGATCACAGGTGCAATGTTTTTTTTTTACATTTAAGCTCAGGACATAAATACCTTTTGAATAATATGTAAAATTCCGTAAAGAAGGCTATAGTTGAAAAGTCTAAACTTGTCTGAAGAAAAAAATCACCCGGAGCACAAATATTCCGTAAGGGATGCTTCTTCAGAAACAAATATTGGAGTGCAACAGGGCTGTCCAGTAGTTTTTTTGTCAAGGTTATTGAACAGTATCGGAATGGATACTATCAAACAAGAGACTTATTGCTTGAAAAAGAAGGATGTCCAGTAAACTTTATGTCGAGGTTATTGAACACTATTAGAATGGATAGTATCAAACAAGAGGCTTATCGCTTGAAAAAGAAGGATGTCCAGTAAATTTTGTGTCGAGGTTATTGAACAGTATTAGAATTAGAATGGATAGTATAAAACAAGAGGCTTATTGCGTAAAAAAAAGGCTGTCCAGTAAATTTTGTGTCATGGTTTTAAATTAAAATTTTTGATGATTGCGATATCAAGCTTGCAGCTGGATTAACCATCATGCATGATGATGCAATATCGCGGGAACGCGGCAACACAGCCTTGGGATGATTTTCAACAATAACCTTATCGCCCAATTGAAGTTCGAAAAACCAGTCATGAGTTGCAAAAACATACAAAGAGGGAAATATTAATATTTCATCCGAACATAATAAACGTGATAATTAACATATATACCAAAACAAAACAGCAACATTGGAGTTCAGTTTGCCCGAAACAAAAGATCGCTAACTGTTGAGAAATAACATCTTTTGCAATAATAGATTACCATATCAACGACGCCCAATTTGATAGAATGTCTTGGATAAACTGAATCAGATCCACAGTGTGGTTGTGGCTGCGCAAAATTTTGTGAATCTTGTGGCCTGGACGACAAAAACATTGAAACCAATCATATTGAAAATCTTGCCAAAATCTTGAAAATTGTTGAAGATTTATCAAAAATATCACAGACATTTTAAAATACTTCCGGCTTTTTGAAGGTACCTAAGCGTCCAAACTACATGAAAACATCCTAAGAAACGTGTAAGATGGCTCCCCTTGAGAAAAATTTTGAAATCTTTAATCGTGAAATTAAGAAAATTTTGCAATATTTTTATACCAAAAACTGATGATTGCTAGTTCATTATTTTTATTCACAGGCGCTTACTTTGATAAGTTAAATGACTTTGACTGTTTGCTTAAATTTGCTTTGAGACTGATAATCATCAGAAGATACTCTGATTTTTCTGGCAATCATAATTACTTTCTTTATAATCATAATTAGCCTAACTTGTAATTGTTTTACAATTGAGTTTCAAAACCGGGAGCTCAGAAATAATTTTTTTTCAGAAAGTCTTAGAATAATCTTAGAATCATCTTAGAATAATCTAGAATAAGAATGCCGATATTTTTTTTTTAAATCTTGGAAAACTTAAAATTAAAATCACTCATCTTCTTCGCAAATCGTCAAAGATCTTTAAAAAAAATCTTTGCTACTTTTTTTCTTTCTTCAAGATTCTTTGAATTTTCTTTAAAAGTCTTTGATATCTTCCAAGGTTCTTTGCCAAAAACTTGCCAAGATAGTCAAAAATATTTTAAAGATTTAACCAAGATTCTTCAAGAGTTTTCAAAGATCAAAGATTGATGGACCTGGGACACTTTGTTCAAAAACGGTGACTGTGCCATTATCAAAAGATGAGCAATGGCACACCCACACATTACTGACCGACTTATTTTTATGGATTTGCCCTATTAGCTCATCCATGGTCAAATTTCATTTGATGCCGATGCTAGATTTGGTTGATAAAGGCATATAGTTGCAAGTATAGGTCAACCAAAAAAGTAATCGATTTTCCGAGGGAACTGATTTCAGACACTAGTATCACATAACTCAAAAAAATTCTTTTTAACGCAACTTAGGCGTTGGTTTGCAATACAGCGCTGCCGGAAAAAAAACTCGGCCATTTTCTTTCGGAGAAACATCTTAACGAAAATTGCGGTAAAACAATAGAAACTGCGGTTATGTTTTTTTATTCGTTAATGGGTTGTACTTTCAAGAAAGTATATTTTACGTATTCTACTGCCTCATAGGAACTCAGCAATTGTCAAAAAACAACATCATTCATGAGTACTATGAAAAAAACCGGAGTTCAAAAAGTTTTAGAACGCGGGGGCCAGAATTATCTATCAGCCATCAGCGAGCCATGATCACACAGAATCAACTACATCATATGGTGGAGATTCAATAGAACATGGATTCATCCAAAAGGCCTAATAAAATAGATTTTGATGCACTAATTTCCCCATTGGCTAATTAAGTCGAGCTGGGCTAATTAAGTCGACAAATTAAGTAAACCTAAGATTTTTCAAACGGCCCCTTTGGCTCCAATTTGTGTGAATATGAGGAAGAGTTGACGCTGAAAACTAACAGAAAATTTCATTTTCTTTTGGAAGAATTTTTGGAATTTGTTCGAGCTGAAAAAAATTGTCAGTATTTTTTTTCTCAAAATTTGCTAGACTGAAAAAATTTTAGATCCGCACCTGATTAAAGTTTTGCTGGTTTAGGAAA